ACAGGGCACCCCCCCCTTAGTTTCGGAAAGCCCCCCACTTGGGAAGCCAAGAGTAGCCCTAAACCCTAAACCCTAAACCCTGAACCCTGAACCCTAAGCCCTAAACCCTAAACCCTAGGTCACCGAGGCGCCCTGAACCCTGAGCCCCATCCGCAAGTACTCAACGGGCTTTGGGGTTTGCAGAGTATACCGGGTTTAGAGGGTTTATAGGATTTATGGGGTTTGTAGTGTAGGGTTTATAGGTTTATAGGGCTTATGAGGTTTCTAGGGTTTTGTAGGGTTTACAGAGTTTTAAGGGCTTATAAGGTTTACAGGATTTAGAGGGCTTACGAGGTTGGAGGGCTTACAGGGTTTACAGGGTTTGTAGGGCTTGCAAGGTTTAAAGAGTTTAGAGGGTTTAGACTGCTTAGAGGGTTGAAAGGGTTGAGAGGGTTTACCGGGTTTATAGGGCTTACAGGGTTGAAAGGGCTAACGCGATACATAGGGTTCTAGAGCTTACTGGGTTTCTATCTAGGGTTTAGTGGGTTTGCAGGGTTTACAGGGCTTGCATGGCCTATACGGCTTGTAGGGTCTAGTGGATTTCCCTACTTTGGAGAAGACCCTGGAAAAAAGGTATATGCTTCTTAGGTACAAGCAGCTAGAATAGGAACCCAGAACCAAAAAAAGTATCAACGCATAGTACTCCAAAACCAGGTTTGCCCTCAACCCTAAAACCTAAACCCTAAACACTAAACCCTAACTAAAGGGCTTTGGGGGCTTCATCCGGAGGTGCTGCGACTTCTGCCGGCCGAGACGCATCTCGGCGAGGATGCAGCCGACGCTCCAGGCCTCATCTTTAGGGGTTCTACCTCGGACCCTTAAGGTTGTACCCTTAGGTTTTGGGGTCCTTTTTTAAGGATCCCTAGGGAATATAAGGGCCAGATTGGGAGTATATAGGAACCTTTAGGGGTACAACCTTGGGGTACGAGTCTTCATCCTTTGATCATCCAGTGTGCGGGGATCTCAAACTCCAACGGTTGGCTCCCGGTTTTCCTTTCTGATAAAATCTCTTGGGGGGGTTAGGGTTTAGGGTTTAGGGTTTAGGGTTTAGGGTTTAGGGTTTAGGGTTTAGGGTTTAGGGTTTAGGGTTGAGGGTTCAAAAGGGATTCTCGTTTAACGGGTACCTTGAAGGGTAACCAGCGGCAGCAGGATTCGGCACCAGATTGCCCAACACAAAGAGATGCAAAGGAAGCAGCGACCCCTTCTCCCCCGCCCATTCAGTTCTGAAATCCTTGGTTCGAGCTGAAACCCTACATGCAAAAACAAAAACCTCAACCCTCAAACCCTCAACCCAAAACCCCGGAAAAAAACCCTAAAGCCCTAAAGCCCTATGCCCCTAACCCTAAAACTCTAGAACCCCAAAGCCCGTCTACGGACCCTGTGATTGGAAGTTCAGTACACAGGCTGCAACCCTAAACTTCCCGACCCTAAACCATATCAACCCGATAAACCTTATAAACCCTATAAGCCCTAAACCCCTATGCGGAGCTGCAACTGGTATTGTAGAAAAGAGTTGGTGATGAGCGTTGAAGGGGTCAATGAACCCGGATATTTTTTGGCTCAAGAAACGTGGGCAATGCGCCCTACGGAAAAGGTGTGTTTGGTTGTGCTTTGGGTTTTGTCTTCGGTTGTTCCAGGGGAATCAAGGGCTTCTGTTGGGGCTGACTGTTTTGTTCCCTGTCCTCCTTCGGTTGCCCCCCGTAGGTTATGAGCCCAAATTTGGCTTCCTGCGGAATTGGTAAAGATTTTTCGTTTGTTTAACGCCATGGACATGATGCGGCGTCGCTCTGAGCCTGGACTGTCGCCAACGGCCAATGAAGCCGAAGGAAATCGTGGTGGTGGGGGTGAAGATCGACAACAAATGGTACAAGCGCTGACAGATGGTAGGGAGGTTGCAATGATACAGCCAACGCCTCAGGTGGAAAACGAAGTGGTTCCGGTTCAAGCAGCAAATCCTTTCTGGAGCGAGCGGGCTCAAGAAGAAATGAGACTTAGGCAATCAAGGCCGGCAAGTCTTCCCGCGAGCGGAGGGGATAGAAGTGGTGAAGGTACGAGGAGGCCACCTTCGCTGCAAGATCTTTTGGGTCAGGAACCTGCACCTGTTGAGAGACCATCGTCAGGCTTAATGGGCCAAATGGAACGAGGTACTATTGGTGGAGTGCAAGCCGACGAAGAACTCATTCCTGATGTTAGTGGTGAAGAGCAAACTGAAGATATGGCGGTGGTGAAGCGTGCGCTGAAAGAGTTGCTTGTGCAAACAAAGGAGCTGGGGAACAGGTTGCATCGGGTGGAGGAGAAAAGCTATACCTCTGCTGCATCTGGGTCAGCTTCAAGGGCACGGAGCTCTGGAGTGGTGGACGCAAACACGGCATATCCTCTAGGAATGACTCCAGAGAAGCAGTACCTGCCAGGACAAGTTTTCTACACGGATGGTATGGGTGGTTTTTGGACTGTGTTGCCTGATGGGACATGGCTGCCTATTGAGGGCTACGACCTGCCAAAGGGTTGTGATCTTCAATCCTTGCCTGGGTCCAGGAAGGGGGATGTTCAAGTGGAGGATGAAAAAGAAGTGCCAATGATGCATGTAGCTGAAGGGAAGAAACCCTCCAGATTGCCTCCATTGAATTACCCCACGGGAGGTCCTGCAAGTGGTGGATATGCAAGTGGACCGCCTGGTTTAACACATGTTCCGATTACTTCCGTGCCGTCAGGTGTTGATGGTTCTGCCGCACCTGTGGGGAACCAGCCCGGTTTTGTTTCAGCTCGGGAAACTGCAACGCAAGAGAACTCAGCAGGATCGGGTGGATATACAATGGTGGATGATGTTCCGTATCGGTGGAAAATGGTCGCTGGGAAGTTGGAATTAGAAAAGGTTCCGCTCACAGCTGTTACGCCCGGTATAGGACATGGACTACCTCAAGGGCCTGGTGGTAGGGTCAGTTTACCTCCTGGAGCAGTGGTGCCACGTGGTATGCCAATCACTGGTGATAGTTCTGGAACCGAACGTCCGGAGGCTCTCGGGAAGCATGTGATGAGCCTTCCAACTTTGGCAGACTACACACCAAGCAATCCGACGGCACTGGGTGATTGGATCGCAATGATCGAACCAATGTTGTCTTCACTGACAGATACAGGAAGAGTGTGGTGGCAATGCGTCTACTCAAAGGCATATCAAGCGTATGGCAAATGGTTGAGTGTTTCTCCGCTGGAAAGGTTGGGCATCAAGGCTGAGCTGGAAGGGCTCAAAGTGGTTCAAACTGTGCATGTTTTGTTGGAGCAGAGAGCGGTGTCTTTGCTGCTACAGGCGATCCCGGAGAGATTGAAGACCGAGATCGTTTCCACTCGAATGTTGGGGTCAGTGATGATATTTTACAAATTGCTGACGGTCTACCAACCAAGTGGAGCAAATGAGCGCAGCACAATGTTGAACTTCTTGGTGCAACCATCTCCAGCAACCTCGATCTCAGAGGCCATAAAGGGAGTGCGTCAATGGGCGCAATGGCGTTCCCGATTGAGGGAGTTGAGAGCGGCTGAGCCGGACGCTACCTTGCTTATCAAGGGATTGGATGGTTTGTCATCCGCGTTGCTGGCGAAACACCCTACGGTTCATTTCAGAGTGGCATCCTTTCGGGAGAAATTGGGGGTGGACTACTCGCCGACCTCTGAAACTGCGACAAAACTAGCTGAAATGTTACAGGCAGAGTTTGAACTGCTATTGCATAGTGCTGGTGAACAAGAGGTGAAGCAGGACTCGGACGCCAAGAAAAGGGCCAGGTTAAACAAGGCCCAAAAGGGAACTGGTGACGAGACAGAGGAGGGTGACAAAGGCAAAGGGAAAGGAAAAAGGTACAGCGGAGATGGTGAACGTCCTTTCTGTTGGATATATGGGAAGACCGATGCGGGGTGCAAGTTCGGATCCCGCTGCAAATTTCGCCATGACAAAGACTCCCTTGAACGAGGAAGATGTTTTGAGTGTGGGGCCGTTGGCCATCTGCAGCCGCAATGTCCATATAAGGATGGTGCAAGTTCCAATGTGGACTCAAATCCTGAGAGGAGTAGATCTAAAGGGAATTCTCCCAAAGGGGGAAAGGGCGGCAAAGGTGCGAAATGGGGAAATGCCAAAAAGGCAGAGGTAGCTGAAGGGGGAGATGAGACGGCTAATGCGGGATTGGATAAAGGTTCTGCAAGTCCCTCATCGCCATCAACGGCCAATCAGGTCCTTGTTGAAGCGTTAGAGGTGCTGAAATCTATGAAGCTGTCATCAGAACAGTCGGCATCAAACGGGGATCCCAGTATTCGAATGTTATGTGGCTCTGGGCTGCTTCAGCAGGAAGGGAGAGTGGCGTTGGTGGATACAGCTGCTACGCATCTTGCGCGGACGCTTTTTCCATGGGAATGTTTACCAGACACTACTGTTATGGTGCAAAGCGCGCTTGGTGGTGTGACAATGAGGATTACAGAGAAAGGGACGTTGATTAGGGAAGACAATGGGCCCCTGATTATCCCTCTCTGGTTGATTTTGGAGTTTGGGGCGAACCTCACTGTGATCAATGGGATGTGTCACGTGGGGGCAAAATCTTCGCTGGACCAGCTCTTGTGGTTTGAACATGGCTGTTTGGTTATGGATTACAAAACAGCTGAAAAAATGGTTTTGCATGCTGAAGGGCAGCGTGTATCTTGGTCCCATTCTCAATGGAGGAATGGAAGGGCGGACTGTGGAGTCGGTTCGTCGGATGCCACGTTGTTGCCGAAGCAGGAAGAAGGCCGAGGAGTATGCGTTCTACATGTGGCCAGGGTTTCTGACACCAATGAGTGTTCGGGAATGGGCATGTTGGACTCGGGAGCATCACATCCTCTCAGATCACTTCGTCCTGGAGAACAGCTTCCGCAGCAAAAGGTGTTGGTGTCTTTAGCTGTTGGATCTCGGGAGATGTGTATTACCCCAGGTGGGACCCTGGTAACTCCTGAAATGGTAGATCCACTAGTGCCAATTGGCAAAGCGAGCGCCTTGGTTGGTCTCAGAGTTCAGTGGCGTGGTGGCAAGTGCACAGCCTCACATCCTGTTCTGGGGGAACTTCGCGTTCGTGATCTGAATGGGTGCCCTTGTTTAGAAAAGGAGGTGGCGCTTCAGATCATTGATGAAATGGATTGGTGCTCCCCAAAGCAAGCTTTGAAGGTGGCACGTATGGTTCAAGGGTGTCCGAATACGGACAACGAGGTGGCTGTAAAAACGTCGTTGCAAAGCGCAGCGCGGACAGCGTCAGCGAATGAGGAGGAGTTCGTCCAGGCATGCTGGCGATTTCTTCGGTGGTATTATGGGGATATACCAGAAAATATGCTGATGGAGCTGTTGCCACGTGGAGATATTGCGGCGTTGCCTTTCAACCGTCATAAAAGGAGACGGCTGGCACGAGCAAAAAGGGTGGTGGTACACCTATTTTCGGGGAAACAAAAATGGCATTTTCCCAGTCGGGATGTGGAGGTACTGGAGCTGGATTTGACAAAAGGCGGTGACCTACATAATTCGAGCGTCTGGAAGTATCTTCTGCATCTGGCGGCTGAAGGAAAGGTGGTTGCTGTGGTTGGAGGACCTCCATGCAGGACAGTGTCAAGGTTGAGAGGTGAAGACGGTGGTCCACCTGTATTACGCCGGCGCTGTGGGCCTGAACGGTTGGGATTAAAGAGTCTTCCTTGGCCACATCAAGAATTAGCTCAAAAGGATGGTGTTTTACTTCTGAAGATGCTTTTCCTATATGACGTGGCGGTGCATTCAAGGTGTGGAACTGCTG